GATGTGCACAACTACAAGAATGGCTGGGCCAGAGATGCAGGCTGTGGCCAAATGATGGTGATTCAGAAGTCAAGACGGGCCTTGAAAGTTGTGAGCAGGGAGGGGCTGATCAGGTTTCCCTTGCAGCAAGTTCACTCCACAGTAGCGTGGGGATGGGCTGAAATAGGACTGCTTCCTTCCCCTTCCATTCTCCCTTCCTCCACTTCTCAAAACATTTAACTTCTCGAAAGCTAGCCAGTATTAATGTCCGAAACCATCCAGTCTTTGCCCTGGTGGCCAAGGCATATCCCCGTGATCTCATGGCCCCTCTGTTCCGTGATGACCTGGTCCTTCCGCACTCAGGGCTGCAGCCTCCTCCTCCCGCGGTATAATGCAGGAAGGAGGAGGGAGGTGGGAGGCTTAAGAGGCCATTTCTCCACTTGGCACTTGCAGCCCCCTCAAGCTCCAGGCTGAAACTTGAGTGGCAGTAATTGCATAAACAGTTTGACCTAATAGTAACAGAAGAACTAGGCCCAGAGCAGAGAGTCGCATTGCCTTTTTCTCAAAGTGACTTCGCTTTTTATGCATTATGATGCAGCAAGGCCACAAGGGAGCCAGAGAACTACAGGGCAGTGACTTTGCCTGGCAAGAAGGTGAGACTCCAAGGAGCAATTGTAATAGTCATGCTATGGAAGGGACATGGAAAAGAATAGATGGAGATCGGATCTGGGTGGGGGAAGTCAGAGGGAGGCAAGAGGGAAAAAAGATGTATTTCCTATTTATTTCTGAAAGTAAGATGAACCTTTATGAAACGATTACCAGCTATCTCCTGTCTTCAGGTTGGAATTACATAATTCCTCAGTGTATTGTGGGCTTCCTCTTCTTTATTTATATATTAAAAGAACAAAACATTCTTTCTAGAGGCATAATTTTGGTCCCTTTACTTATGAAGTTACTGAATTTAAAATTTACTAAAGATTTCTGAATTCATGAAAATTCCTTCTTTGAAACTTTTTAAATCTCCATCTCACCAGGAAGACCTAAAAAACCTGAGTTTCTAATTCCAGGCAAGCCTCTGCACCAAAGCCTCATGCAGACGTGTATGTAGCATCGTCCTGTTTCTCTTCTTCTCCCTCTTTGCTATGAGCCGGGCCTTCCATGCAGCTATGTGGTTCTGATATTCCCTGTCAGGTGTTGAATGATAACTGAGGTATTATCCAATATGGATTTGAACATTCTCTTGAGGTGAGAAGATGGTCCCGGTTCCAGGAAATGGGTATTCAGAGGGAGTGGAATCACAGTTGGCTGCATACCTGGCTGACACTGGAGGGTAAAACGGTGTTTTTCACTAAGTCCATGTTCACAGCACTGCTGGGAGGACCACTGCCCTATCCAGAGCTGGTACTTACAGACAGTTCTCAATGATATGTTCAGAAGTTGGTGGGCAGGGGCAGGAATAACCATACAGCAGATGAACAGAAATCCTTCAGAGGCGACTCTCTAATGCATTGCCGGCAGCTTTGGCCTTCCCCTTTAGGCTTCACGTAATACGTTTGCATTTCCTGTGCTGCCTTATTCACTAAGCAGCTGGAAGTGTAGGGAAGCAATTCAAGAAGGAAGAAAATGGTCCAGAGAAAAGTCAACACATATGTGAGCCAGTTATGGCCCCTGACTGAGGTTTGTTCCTGTTCTTCTTTCCCTCCACCAAATTTCTTCTTCTCCTTTCTCTGTACTACATGGGGGTGGGGATATCCCTGAGAGATCTAGTGAGTATTTTGTTTTGTGATGGGATGGAATAATGGCTTCATTGTTGAATAGATGTAAGAACTCATCATCTCAAGTGAGATGAACAGAAGTGCAGCTCCGGATTCCCTTGTGTCTAACCTCAGTGAACCTTCAACAAGTGATTTCCCCTCTCTGAGCCTTACTTTTATCAACTATCCCACAATGAGGGTTGTGGTCCTAACTCACTCCACAGTGGTTTTGAGATGATTCAATCAGATTCAGCTCTGTGTCTGAGCACTGTAATTCTACTCCCAAAATCAAGTATCTTATATAAGACAATACTGATATAACAAGGTGACATGTTTACAGCACCGTGGGCACTGTTCCTGCCACCAGGATTCCCACCCCCAGTGTTCCCAAGTTGCCCCAGCCATCCCTTCCTCACCTCTTTGTGGACTACCCCTCAAGCATAAGCCACATAGGAGGCAAACACAAACAGCCTGTAGGCTGGGAATGGAAAGGTAGGGAAGTAGACAGTGGGCCAAATTTTAATTCAATAATTACTTAATAAACTCATACCATACTCCAGGCACAATGACAGTGTGGAAAAAGTCATGGAGGACACAAATATGATACCTGCCCATGAGCACAGAACTCTTATAATCAGGATTTGGGCAGAATGTGAGAGCATAGGGAGGATATTTGGCCATACAAAGAGAAGCCAGAGAAACATTAGGAAGGAGCACGTGGAGATGGAGGCATATAAAACACATAGTTAGACCTCAGGCCTTACTTTTAAAATGCCCCACCTCTCACCCAATATCCACCTCCAATGCCACATCCTCTGAGTCCTTCAGTAACAACCAAGCAAGACAGAAGGGATCTCCCCGTCTGCTTCTCCCTCTCATTTTCTCTCCATCCCCCCAAGTGTTAAAACCTTGTCTGTAGAGCAGTCGTTGGGCACTTTCTCTAAGCTGCTTTCATTATTTCGATCAGCTATCTCTGCTGATTAAATATCACTTGTCATTTGTGTGGGCTCAGTATTTCTTGAGTGATGGCAGCCGCACAATCGAACCAAAGAATCTCCAACGGCATCCGCCTACTCAGGCAACCATGTGCTTACAAACACAGCTGCGTATGAAGTATGATGTCCAGGACTATTTGCTGTTTCTCCCCACACATTACTGCTAAGTGCTCTTGAGGAGACAAAACAAGGGAACCTCAACATGACACCAGAGGTGCAGCTGTGTTTCTAAATGCCACACTGGCTGGGAGTAATTCAAAGTTTATATTAAATTCCTCTCAGTATTAACAAGGTGCCGAATAAACTGTTTACTGATGAAGCCTATGCCTTCAGATAGGATGAACTCCTCTCAGTAGCTTACATTTTACACTGGCAAAGCAAGGACTCACAGCCAGTATCCTTGGGGGCTTGGAGTTCGTTTATCTTTCAAAGAAACCAGTTACAACTGAAACTGTTCAAATACAGCCCAGAACAGCACTTAGCTTCTGCCAGAGCGGCTAGGACCTCGGCTCTCAATATGCAAACACTAAGAATGTTTGTTTCCATCTTCTTTACCAGGAAGATGAATGTAGTTTCCTCTTTGAAGAAGATCATCTGAGGCCATTTATTTCCCTTGACTTCAGGAAGAAGCTACAGAGAGGGACCAATGGTGTTTAAAAACTGGGTCCATTTTGTTAGCAAGCAGCCTGAAGGCCACGTGCTAATGTTGTGAGGCATTAATAGGAATTCCCAGGTTCTAATCTAGCAGCCAGACTATGTCACCAGAAGCTGGCCATGTGTGATGAGGAAGGACCATTTCAGTGGACTTATTTCTATGTCTATGAAAGATCTTCCTTGAACTTTACCCTTGTAGACTTGGGTGGACCTTCAACTACTTTACAGACAGCTAAAAACTCTACAGGCAGTGTAGATTTCACTTCTGCTGGGTCTTTATTTTGTTCTTGTTTGTCTCCTTTTGATTTAATAAGATAAAGGCAAAAGGTTCTAGAACATAAGCCTGGTCTCTTAATCTATCTTGGTGACATTTACATATAACTGAAAATTGCTATAAATCTTTCTTAACCTTTTTGCTGGTGAATTGCTAGAAAATGCTGGAACATTTTATTTTGGCCTGGCCCTGGCTCCATTTAAAAATGCCAGACACAGCAGGGCTGGATTTGTTCATGTCCATTTGAAGACAAGGAAGCAGAGGAAGTCGTGTTAAGGGGCTTGGAAATGGATGTGGGGAGGGGGTGAGACATGAGGGAGGGCCACAACAAATCCCTAACAAAAGGTAGTTTATTTGTTTTACTAAATACGCCTTTTAGGAAAAGGCCATTTATAATCTTCCACAAGTTAAAACTGAGGGGAGACTGCAAAGGTGGAATTGCTTTGCTTTTCTAATTCAAGTGGACTTGGAGCATCTGATCTTCCTGTGAGAACTCAGCAAGGAAAAAGAAGCCTACCTCTCCAAAGATCATTGAAGGGGGAAAAAAAAAAGGTGATGATGATATAAAAATTGTATTCACAAGGGAGTGACATGATGAAGAAGAATGAAACTGGAACTTCATCTCACTCCATAGACAAAAATTAATTCAAAATGGATTAAAAACGTTAAGGCCTGAAACCAAAAAAAACTATTAGATGAAAACATAGGGAAAAACCTCATAAGGTTTGTTATGACACTGCAATTAGTGTTGGTATATACTACATACCTACCAATAAGTAGCTCTAAAAATTGTATTAGGCATTTTAGTATCACAGATGACAAATAGGTTTTATTTTTGGTGTCAACTCTGGGTAATTAGTTATGACTACCTGGAATACTTTGTTTAGAACAACTGGGAGACTGAGACGAGGCACAGCTGAAAATAGTAGAGCGATCAATTATTGACGTCTGCCACTGGCCCCAAATGGGGGAGTGTATTTGCCATCCTAAATCTAGTAAAAAGGTCAAAAAATGTCAAGAGACTTGGTCTTTCTGCCTCCAATTAACTGGGTAATTTTGGAACATCTTTTATTCTCTATAGACCTCATTTTCTCCAATGTAAAATGAATGAGCATAATTTTATGATTTCTAAGGTCTCTTTGAGTCTCAAAGTTCTGATTCTAATTTTGAAAATATTGCCAATATTTCACAGGTTCGGAGCGTAAATACATTTTTATAAATGTTTTCGCATTAATACATTTATGTGCAAGAAATTGGTTTATGGCCCTCTTTTGAAAAACAGCATCACCTAAGTGAAAGGGTCTGTAGGTCACTAAGTGAAGCAGTGCTGAAGCTTCCTCTTACCTGCTGCGTGCTTCTATTTCAGTCAAAATTTCACTGAGCCTCTGTTTGATCACCTGCAAAATGGAAGAAAAATTATTTATATCCTCTTCTGACTGAGATGTGGAATAATTAATGAAGTCAAATTTTCTTAGTGCTTGGGATTTGTCAGAAGACAGATATTAATGTAATTCTAAAGTACAAGTGTTCATATAAAAATGTCACCCAGAAATTGTTCCTATGATATGGTATACATTAATAGCCATTTGATATAAGACAGCTTTATTACAACAGAGCAATGCTTTCAAAAGGAAAAAGAGACTGGTTAAAAAAAAAAACAAACCCAGACTTAATCATTTTCTTTTTAAGCTGTGCTTTCATTTTCCTTAGTGTAAATCCTACCGTAAGATTAAAAACATGATCAAAAATGAAAGAAGCATGGTATTGTGGTAGTCCACTTGGCAAAAATGGCTCCCAGCAGAGTATAAAGAATACATACACAATACATTTGCTACTTCAATATACTTAAAACCAACATGCAGATGAAAATATGCAAAAATGACTCTACAGGAAGTTGAAATACCTTGTTCCCATAAATAGTTATGACAATTGATCCTAGTGCTAGATTCTGTTCCTGTGAACAAAGTCAGAACCTGAAAGACGTCATATTATTCCTCAAAGCCAACATTCTGAAGAATGAATGAGTAGACAATGGAAAAAATGGGCCTGAACTCTCACCTGGGACATACTTGTAGGACAGAGAAGAAAAGCCAAGATAGGTAAATAGAAGTGTGGTATTGTGGTAGTCCACTTGGCAAAACAGGATCCCAGCCATTTTGGTTTCTTCCTCATCACTTTGAATCAACAACTTAATCATGGAAATAGAAAACAGAATTTGCCACCACTTACCCCATTTAAATATATTTCTTACTTTGTTGCTTAACCATGGATTCTAGGCAGTAATGAGGAACATAACTACATAACTGCAATGGCTATTGCAACGAGACTTTAGAATAGAATCTTCCTGACTCAGTTTCAACTGACATGTCCATATGACAGATTCAGAATAAACAAGGTGAGCAAGACAAATATGCATACACAGATTTTTAGAGGAAATATCCAAACCTAATCCAGCAGTCTTGACAAACTGCCCTCCACCTCTACCCCAAGCCTGCCTTTGAGTACACTGAAGAAGACAGACTGTGGGGAGTGGGGTATGTGAATAGATGGGTCAAGAGGTTTTCCGAGAATTGATGCATCCTGTGACTCTTCATCTTGCTTTTTGTTTTCTGGAGGGTTTTGTGGGGGATATTACCACTAACCCAGGGGTCAGGAAACTATAGCTTGCAAGTCAGATCTGGCCCACTGGTTGTTTTTGTACAGCCATGAGCACAATAGTTTTTACATTTCTAAACTGTAAAATGTGGGGGGAAATAAAAAAATATCTTGTGACATCTGAAAACTGTTTCAAATTTCAATAAAAATTTCAGTGTTCATAAATCAAATACTATTAAATACAGCCANCATTTATTTTGTTTCTTAGATTCTACATATAAGTGAAAACATGATATATGTATTTCTGTCTGACTTGTTTTCTTAGCATCCATGTAGGTCCATCCATGTAGTTGCAAATTGCAAGATTTTATTATTTTTTATTGCTGAGTAATATTCCATTGTGTGTACATACTTACATATGTGTGTGTATATATATATACATATATATACATTGTGTGTGTACATACTTGCATATATATGTGTATGTGTGTTTATATATATATATAACATCTTCTTTATCCATTCATCCATTGGTGGACACTAGGTTGTTCTCATATTTTGACTACTGTGAATAATGCTACAATGAACATAGAGGCGCATATTTTCAATGAATGATTTCATCTTCTTGGAGTAAATACCCAGAAGTGGAATAGCTGCTTAATACGACAGAACTATTTTTAATATTTTGAGGAACCTCCATGCTGTTTTCCATAATGTTTGTAACAATTTACCTTCCCACCAATAGTGCACAAGGGTTCCACTTTCTCCACAACCTCACCAACACTGATTACCTTTTGTCTTTTTGATAATTGCCATTTTAATAGGTGTGAGGTGATACCTCATTGTGGGTTTGAATTGCACTTCTCTGATGATTAGTGATGGTGAGCATCTTTTCATGTACCTGTTGCCCATCTGTATGTCTTCTTTTGGGAAATATTTACTGAGGTCCTTTTTTCATTTTTAAATCACATTATTTGTTTTCTTGCTACTGAGTTGAGTTCCTTAAAAATTTTGGATATTAATAACATATCAGAGATATGATTTGCAAATATTTTCTCCTATTCATAGGTTACGATTTCATTTGTTGACAGGTTTATTTGCTGTACAAAAGTTTTTAGTTTGACATAGTCTCACTTATTTATTCATTGCTTTGACTTTTGGACTCAGATCCAAAAATTCAGTGCCAAGACCAATGTCAAGAAGCTTATCACCTATGTTTTCTTCAAGGAGTTTTATGCTTTCTTCAAGGAGTGTTACATTTAAGTCTTTAATCCATTTTGAAGTAATGTGTGTGTTTGGTGTTAAGACAGTGGTCTACTTTCTTTCTTTTACATGTGACTTTCCAGTTTTCCCAACACCATCTATTGAAGAGACCATCCTTTACTCATTGGGCGTTCATGTTTCCTTTGCCATAAATTAACTGAAAATATGTAAGTGGGTGTAAAACTTGGCTCTATTCTGTTCCATTGATGTCTGTTTTTATGCCAATACCATACTGTTTTGATTACTATAGTTCCATAGTATAGTTTGAAATCAGGAAGCATGATGCCTCCAGTTTTGTTGGTCTTTCTTAGGATTTCTTTGGCTATTTGGGGTCTTAAGTAGTTCCATATGCTATCTGTATGGAATTAGAACTAGAAATATTTGTTTTAGTTCTGTGAAAAATGACATTGAAATTTTGATAGTGATTGCATTTAATCTGTAGAATGATTTAGGTAGTATGGATATTTTAACAATGTTAATTCTCCAAATCCACAGGGACAGTTATGTCTTTCCATTTATTTGTCTTATTCAAATTCTTTCATCAATGTCTTAAAGTTTTCAATATGTAGGTATTTTTACCTCCTTGGTTAAATTTATTCTAAATATTTTATAATTTTGACTAGAGTTGTAAATGAAGTTTCTTTCCTAATTTCTCTCTCTGGTATGTTGTCTCATTAGTGTATAAAGATGCAACAGATTTCTGTGTATCAATTGTCACTCTGCACCTTTACTGAATTAATTTTTAATTCTAAAAGTTTTTTGGTGGACTCTTAGGGTTTTCTATACATAGTATCATGTTATCTGCAAATGGTCACAGTTTTACGTCTTCCTTTCAATGTAGATGACTTTTATTCCTTTTTCTTGCTTATGGTAAGGACTTCCAACAATATGTTGAATAATAGTAGTAAAAGTGGGCATCCTTTTCTTGTTTCTGGTCTTAGAAGAAATGCCCAGCTTTTCACTATTCAGTATGATGTTAGCTGTGGGTTTTTTAAAAAACGTGGCTTTTATTATGAGGTATGTTTCCTCTATACCCAATTTGTTGAGAATTTTTATCATAAACAGAAGATGAATTCTGTCAAAAGTTTTTCTGTATCTATTGAGATGATTATATGATTTTTAGCCTTCATTTCTGGATGTTGAACCATCCTTGCATCCCTAGAACAAATCCCACTTGAACGTTGTATATGATTTACTGTTGAATTCAGTTCACTATCATTTTGTTGGATATTTTGCATCATGAAGAAACTGGTCTATAATTTTCCTTTTTTTTGTGTGGTGCCCTTGTCTGACTTTGGTACCAAGGTAATGCTGACCTGGTAAAATGAATCTGGAAGTATTCCCTCCACTTCAGGTTTTTGAAGAAGTTTGAGAAACACAAATATTAAGGCTTCCTTGAATGTTTGGTAGACGTCAGCAGTGAAACTGTCTGGTCCTAGATTTTTGTTTGTTGGAGGGTTTTTAATACTGATTCAATTTCCTTACTAATAATTGGTCTGTTCAGATTTTCTATTTCTTCATGAGTCAGTCTTGGAAGATTGTATATTTCTAGGAATTTGTCTATTTCTTCTATATTGTCCACAGTTTGTTGTTATGCAGCCATACCCCTTTATTTATATATAATCTATGGCTGCTTTGGTGCTACAAAAGAAAATTGAGCAGTTGACAGAGACTGGTCAGCAAAGCCTGAAATAGTCATCATTTTGGTCTTTACAGAAGAAGTTTGCTGATCCTTGATCAAACCACAAGCCTGGCGAAAAGAGCTTTTGAGAGGCACTTGGATAACTTTGAAATGTGTTCCTTGTGTTTGGGATACTTTCATGACTACTGTCTGATTCAGGCCTGAAAAACACTGACTACAGGGACTGTGGTCCAGGATGTCCTCCTTCCAGAGAAAATGAAGACCGGAAAAGAGTTACCCAGCTACTCTGGTACTAGCTCTGGGAGAATGCTGCTGGCCTGTATTTCCATAATATGTTGGGGAATGGGTGCATGAGCATTTCCCAAATATCAAATATGGGAACATATGAGAAAGGGCTCAGATGAACTCATCTTGACTACCTGGAGAGGGATCTCCAAAAGAAGTGGCAGGATGTGCCCCGTTAGAGGCCTGAGGCTTCAGGAGGTTCACACAAGGAACCATCTGGAATAGCCAATACTTCACTTTTTGGCCAGTGCAAAAATTGCCCAATGAAGTATAAGCCTTTCTATTCTGCTATGAGATAGCAGGCAACAAAGAAAAGGTGATAGGGAAGGTGTGAGGTGATGAAAGCTAGCCATGCCCTATCTATTCTCTCCAGTTTTCCTAAGGTTATTGATTCAAGTTTTAAAAGATGGTGAAAAACAGAAATAGAGTTATGTTTTATTAATGTCAAGAGTCATCCTTTTCCAACATATCACTAACATTATTTACTGAGCAATTCCAATATACAAGAACTCTATATCCATATTCTAATTTAATTATTGTAACAATTCTATGACATTGATATTAATACACCCACATTTTATGTGAAGAAACAAAACTTCAGAGTTCAAGTGA